TACATGACTTTGAGGTTTCCTGTGTCTGAGACTGTCTATCTCTTCACAGAGCTTGATCCAGTAATGATTTGCACAGTGTCTGCTTGCTCGCTGCACCTCAGTTTTTGCATGCTGAAGTCTCACTTTGGTGCTCTCTATTGGCTTCCTGTTGTGTTCCAGATAGGCTGTGTTCTTAATGTTGATGAGAGGTGATAGTTCCACTTCATTTTCTTCAAATCAGTCCTTTTTTGATGGACTCTTCCCCCCAAATGTAGCTCAAGCTGTTTCATGGATTGTTGTTCTTAAATCTTCCCCAAATTCCTCTGCATTCTCTGGTAATGACTTCCCATGCATGCTAAGTTCAAAAGCATTCACAAACTCCTGGCATTTCCTCTGGTTTTTGGTGGTAATAGCATTAACTTTGGGCTTGCTCTTAGGTTTTGCTCTATGTAGTTTCTTGGCTGTAATCTTCACTTTGCTAATAATCAAGGAGGATCCAAAAGCCAGCATGGTGAGCCAGAAGCTGCTTCAATTAGCCAATGGGAGATCATGAGGAGAAAGGTGTGTTCTAATCCCCGCCCCTCTTACAAAGTTAGGCACTTAAGTCCATGCTGCAGGGAGGTGCCTATCTCTGCTAATGATTCACAGGCAGGAACCTTCTTCTGGACTCAGGCACCTAAGCTGTTTTTTTGCAAGAAACACAGGAGGAGGGGCCCACCATGTAACTTTTAGCCCAGTGACTAGCATGCTCACCTGGGATGTGGGAAACACAGGGTCAACTCCCCCTTCATGCAGAGGATGATCTCCCACCTCTCAGGTGCAGGCTCTAACTCAGGGGTCAGCAACCTTTCGGAAGTGGTGTGCCGAGTCTTCATTTATCACTCTGATTTAAAATGTATTACGCGTGCCAGTAATACATTTGAATGTTTTTAGAAGGTCTCTTTCTATAAGTCTATAATATATAACTAAATTATTGTTGTATGTAAAGTAAATAAGGTTTTTAAAATGTTTAAGAAGCTACATTTAAAATTAAATTAAAATGCAGAGCTCCCCGGACCGGTGGCCAGGACCCGGGCAGTGTGAGTGCCACTGAAAATCAGCTCGCGTGCCGCCTTCTGCACGCATGCCATAGGTTGCCTACCCCTGCTCTAACTACTGGGCTATGGGACATTTTGATGTGGGCCTTCCTCAGTCTCTCCTGATAAAGCTATTCCACTCTGGATATACAATTAAAGAATCACTAGAGCATGGGTCACCTCCCCAGTGAGTGCCCTCCCACTAAGCTATACTCCCTGGCCAATAACTCTTACATTCAGGTAACTCACAATCCTTTCAGAACTCCTGTACTGCTGCACACTCCCCTCCAGGCTGTGCATCACCCATTAGCAGATGCAGCATACTCCTCTCATTGTGTCCAGCCATCTCTGCTGCCCCTGCTCTTTCCCCTGTGCCGAGACTCAAGATCTAGGTAGGTACTGCATGACTGTGCACGGGCTGGGGCCTTATGCTCCCTTACTCCGCCAGTAGTGCCAACTCTCAGGATGTTATTACAAAGTCTGAAAGGGGATGGAGGGGTGAGGTAACAAGCAGCAAGAATGTGCATTGAAGAATAGCATCCTTGTTAGCTCCATGAGTTCTTTACCCAGGAAATGTGACCACTCCTCTGTAGGGAGGACTAGGGTTTGCAGGCTTGTTGGAAGTAGTCTGTTTTAATGGAGGGACTTGAAGGAGGAGAAGGTGGAGGTCCTGCAGAGCAGGTCAGGGAGGGACCTGTGTGTGTAGGGAGCCACCTGGGGAAAGCCAGGGAGGCGGGAGTGGGGAAAGGATGCCAAGGACTTAGTAAATCAGGCAATTTGAGCACAGTAAGGATGGGGAGAAGAAAGATCTGTGGGCGTATGTGGGAATCAGGCTGTGCAAGGCCTTAACGAGAAGACAAGGAGCTTGGTTTTGCTGTAGAAATGGAGAGGAAAGCCAGCCAAAGGCTTGATGCTATCAGAATGGCAGGCAAGGAAGGTATTTTGGATTGACGTGGGTGTCAGGCAGGCCAGACAGGATGCTGTTGCAGAAGTTAAGGTGAGAGATGACAATAGCAAGAATGGAACCCTGTGGATTTCAAGGTGAGAATGGAGAGGGATGAGCAGGTTTTAGGCCTGTGAGGCAATCTAGCAGGATTTAGTGGTAGCTTCAATTTGGGGTGGAGTGGAGGGACAGAGAAGAGGAATCCAAAGTAATACGAGGGATGAGATACTGCAGCAGAAAGAGAAAAGAGAAAGCAACCTTTGACAGCAAAGGGAGAGAGAGGAGAAGGCTTCAGGAGAAAGGGAAGGAGCTCAGTTTTAGTCATGCTGATTTTGCTGACACTTGGAAATTCAGGAAGGGATGTCAGAGAGGCAATCAGAAATAATGGACTGGGTAGAGCTTGGGAGTGGAGAAATGAATTTGTGAATCTTTACCAGAGATGCAACAGCTAAAGTTGTGTAACCAGATGAAGTTGTACAGAGACAGGGAGCAAGAAGAGAAGAGGAGCGGGCCAAGAATGTAGCTCTGACAGACCCTGAAAGAGAGACAGAGTCCACAAAATAGCCACTGAAATAGTGGTTGGGGGTGTAAGATGAGAATCAGAAGAGCACAAAGTCCAAGGCATTGTCTACATGGGTAAATTTCATTGGTTTAAGTTAAATTAGTGCAACCCCCTATGTGGACACTCTTGTTCCAGTTTAATAGTGTCTCATTTTGGTTGAACTAAGGGCTTGGCTACACTTGCGAGTTACAGCGCAATAAAGGAGTCCCGGGCGCACTAGCTCACTACCCATCCACAATGGCAAGGCACGTAGAGCGCTCTGACTCCGCGGCTACAGCGCTGCTGGTACTCCACCTCGGCGAGTGGAATAACGTTTGCTGCGCCTCCGCTGAAGCACAGCGGCGCCAGTGTGAATGAGATGTTGCATTACTGCGCTCTGATTGACCTCCACAAACGTCTCATAATCCCCTTAAGTCAAGTGGCCACTCTTGTCATTGTTTTGAACTCGCTGTAGGAATGCGGATATGCCCTTTCAAAGCTCCGTTTCTAACAGCTGGCTGCTTATCTGTTCTGAGACAAAGAAACCATTACTGAGGAATGCTGCTTGGTTTGAGTGGGGGGGGGGGGGAGGAGGGGGAGGGAGGTCTGCTGCTGTCTGAACTTACAAGACACCATGCTGACATGCTCTCAGACCCCCAAAAACCCACTCTCTCTCCCTCCACATACACACAACACACTCCCTGTCCACCCCACCCCCCACATTTGAAAAGCACGTTGCAGCCACTTGCATGCTGGGATAACTATCACAATGCACTGCTCTTTGTGGCGTTGCAAGAGTTGCTAATGTGGCCAAGCCAGTGCGCTTCCAGCTGAGAGTGTAAACACTCAGCAGCATTTTCCCTGCTGCAGTCTCCGAAGGTTGGTTTAACTCCCAGTGCTCTACAGCTGCAAGTGTAGCCATGCCCTAAGCCTGTTCCTATTCAGTTTATTAGCATAAAAAGCCACTCTTAAACTGAATAGTGTCCATATCAGGTTAACTGAATCTATTGAAATTCACACCATCAGTTAAACTGGGGCAACTTTATCATGTAAACAAGCCCTATAAAGCCAAGGAAGGAGAATCACTAGGAGGAGGGACTGGATCAACTGAGTTAATGGTGGTGTAAGACTGAGGAGGATGAGAGAGGCAGAGTGGTCTTGGGATTTGGCCAGGAAGAGGTCATCAGTGACTTCGTTGAGGGCATCCAGTGGAGGTACAGATGCCAGATTGTAGGGGATTAAGAATGAAGATGGAGATGATGAGACAAAAGAAGTAAACTATGTGCTTCAGCAGCAAAAGGAAGGAGTGAGATGGGACAGCAGTTGGAGAAGAAGTGCAGGAGGGAATCAAGGGTGTTTTTTTTAAACAATAAAGGAGATGGTATGTTGGAGACAGAGTGGTTGAGGGGGAGGTGGAAGGATGAGATCAGTGAGGGAGATCGACCTTTGAGAAAAGAGTAGGTCAAAGGTGCTAGGTGCGGGGTTAGAGAAAGAAAGCAGGAGATATATTGCTGAGTTGAAGACTGGGATGTAGGGAGAGATGGTACAGGATGGGAACAAATGAGGGGGAGGGGTAGAAGTGGAAGCTCATGCTGAATAGCATCTGGTCTCTCCTTAAAAAAAAAAAAAGAGACAAGATCTTCAGTGGAGAAGGGAAGTCAGTGCAAGACTAGAATCAAAGGTAGAGAAGAATTAGTGCGGTTTTCCATTCTAACTCCTGTTTTCATTTGCTCATAACTTTCTAAAATGTTCACCTTTCAGGCCAAGGTCTGCTCTGCTTCTGGGTGGTTGGGGTTCTTTTTTTGGACAGACAATGTATTGGATAACAATATTCCCATCAATAAGGGACTACATATCATATGACACAAACTAACAGGGGATTTGAATTTCAGTCTTTTGACATTTTATCACTATTTTATACAATAATCCATATTTAAGTTTCACAAATATGGAGGCTGCAGAAGATCCAGCCCAGAACATAATGATATATTTTATGAAATCATGTAATATTACCATTACCACTACCACTACCACATAGGCAGTACTTCCTTCACCAGAAAACTGAGCATCACATTTATGATTGCCAGAGAGAGAGAGACGCTTGTACATTCAATACATATCAAACATATCTTGTCATACATGTCAGAACCCAGCACTGGTGTGGCACAGAATGGCTAATATCTCAGAAAGAAAAGGACAAGAAAATGGTGGGAGTTCTGAATATCTGCTCTGTTTTGGTACATTTTCATGTCTCCAAAAAGCTGTTCTTTCAGATAAAAAAAGAAAAGAAAATCAGGTATTGTCCCCAGTATGCCTGTCAGTAACAATGTCCAGTTATAAGCATAGCAAGCTGTCCTGTGGAGCAAGAAGAATTAAATGAAGGCCCAGATTAAGCTGCTCTCAGCCACGGTAGTGACAGGGGACAGCAGATTCCCAGAAACCCAGAGAAGATCCAACCAACCTTGGTGAATTGGTGAACAATGATATGTAGGCAGTGCTTCTTCATGTCCAGAGCTTGTGTCTTGTCAGCTGCCTCTAAAATCTAGAGCAGAACAAAGTTAAAACTCTCTTCTCTTTCTTCTTCTGATAAAAATCTAACTCACAGACAAGTGCTGACTTTATGCAGAGAAGGTCATTTCCCTATACTTGAGGTTGCCACCAGCTTTCCATTCTGAACTGGATTTTGGATGTTGTGTGCGGTTCTTGTCAGAAGATAATTTTTATGGAAATCTGGAGATGACTCAGGCTATGCATGGAGTCAGATTGTCTCAGGTGCCAGAATGAGACTGGTGCAGGCAAAGGGAAAGCTATATCCTAGGCTGTGGGTTGGGAGCAATCAACGTAGGAGGGGGCACTGCTAACTTTATACCAACTGAGGATTCCCTCTACCAGGGAAATTCTTAGTTGGCTGGATTTTGGCTCTTTTGCACCACCCGGGCAGCAAAAAATGAGCAGGACCAGGGCAGAGGATCTGGTCCATGATCTTTAGGAAAGAATTGTTTATTTATGGTAACTGTTGTTCACTGAAAGTTGCCTCTATGCATTCACATTTGTGAGTTTGACGGCCCCAATGATCTGCTGATGGAACCTCTACCAAATCAGTGTCCATTGGGTCTGCATGAGCACCACCTACTGACACTGATGTTCAACGACTAAGCCTATACAAGGAAGTCCAGTACCCAACCACCTCGGCTTCTTCTCCTATACCAAAGTGCCAAAGTATGATGAGAACTCTGAATGGAATGGGGACAGCAAGTGTGAATGCAGAAAGATAACTCTCAAAGAACTGTTATCAGTTTCTTCTTCCAAGTCCTCTGTGCATTCCCATTTGCAGGAGATTAGCGAGCAGTACCCACAGAGATGCAAGGCGGGCTGAGGAGTTTGCAGCTGAAGAGAAATTGTAGCACTACTTTCCCAGTCCCGGCCTCCAAACAGGAGGTCAAGATTAAGGAACAGTGCTTGCTAAGATGTGACCTGAACTCTAAATGAGTGCTCTACAGAACTCCCTACTGGGCACCAGTTTGAACATGCCACACAAATGGCTTTAATGCATAGTGGCAAGGGAACCTTAGTCCAAGAATAACAAAAACAAATGGACAAGGTGATCCACTTGGATAACCTGTGAGAAGAAATAACCTGTCCCTTGTACCTCTTCCCATATGCTAAATTAGCCTAGTGCTATTTCAGAAGGGCTTAGTTCTCTACGGACAGAAACAGAGTGCCCTTCTCACATCCCCTGGGAGTGGTGTGAGTTTTGAAGAAGAAAACCAGAAAGGATACAGACTGGTTAATATGAAAATCCATCACTATTTTAGCAATTAAGTTTGGGTGTGGATATAGAAATCCCTCGGCCTTCTGTGTACAGCTAGGTCACCATTAAATCTGCATCTGACTGACCCTCCAAGCTGCAAGTCCAAAAAGCAGTTCTCCAGTGGTTCAGAGGTGGGGTTCCATGACCTTTGCTAGCACCCAGTCCAAGTCCCATGCAGAAAGAGGCTCCCTCACAAGAGAAAGATGTTGGCAAAGCCTTAGACGGAATGTGTGATTGCAGAGTGTGGGGGAAATGAACCCCCCAACCGCACTAGACCCTTGCAGATGGAGTTGGCATACAGAATTTGCATTCTGATGGACTTTTGGGGATGCATTGAACAGACTGGTCTCCTTTTGGTAATGGTCTAGCACTCTAGAACAGTCCTTCAGCCATTGCCCAAGTGGAGCATATCTTCCACTTTGAACACAGCACATGTGTGTCACACGTTTTCTAGACTGAAGAATCTTTCTCACACTTGCAGAACAAGACAGGTCAGAGTTGGTTAAGAATCTATCAACCCGGCAGTCAGATGAAGGGATACTAGACCTGGATGGAGAATTCTCTTCCAGCCTGAGATAGCAGGTCAAGAGATAGCGGAACGTGACATGGTAGCTCAAAGGAGGATGCAACAGCTTGGCATACCAGCGCTCTGAGATGCTCTGGAGCAATGACAAGAGTTTTTACCCTCTCTCAGGGTACGAGGTACTGGCAGGAATGTATAAAGTTCTTGCTCCAGTCCAGGAGGAATGTGACCCTGAGAGACTCCTTCTTCCTGACCATTGTTGAACAGAAAATGTGACCCTTTCTGCCTTGATAGCAAAGCATTTTAGCACAGATGTTTACGTGCAGAAGAGATGGCAAGACAATAATGTTTCCAGAGACCACTCATGTTGGTCTAGTCGCCTTGGCCTGAATGCATGAAAGGAATTAGGTGCCTAAGTCCCTATTTTAGGCACCTAAGTCCCACTTTCAGCACCAAGGTGATGCACAACCCCCTGCCAAACCCTGCAAGCACCTGAACTCACTCGGTGCTCAGGAATTTGCAGTAAAAGTTCCCTAGATGCCTATCTTACTGCCTGTGGGCAGGCACACTGCTGCGTCACCAGGGGTGTCCAGATGCCTAACTCCTGCCTAAGTCCCATGAGACTCAGAAAGAACCAGATAATTTGGCAAAGCTGATATTGCAAGGTTTGCAGAGTTTGACCAGTACTGTGAAATCTGTCCTCTGGCAGCAACATCTTGTCCAAAGGTTAGTCTCAGACTATGCCAATAAAAGTGAGGCTCTTACAAGTGCACAATTCAACATGCCCCACTTGATTTTGAGCCCCAAAGTCTTGCAGGTCAGGACCAAAGAGCAGAAGAGCTCCTGCCATGATCTGGCTTTGAGAGGTCAGTTGTATAGATATGACAAAACATATATTCCTCTTTTCCTTAGGTGGGTTGCCACCACAGCAGGCGGTCAGTAAACACTCTTAGTGCTGTATTGTAAAAACTTTTCTCCGATGCAAAACTTCATGCATTTCCTATGTGATTGTTTTATGTCTGTGAAAGTAGGTGTCCTTCAAATCAAGAATCATGTATCAGGGTTTGTCTATATGAGCACTAATTTGCAGCAAGCTGGGGTGAAAACATAGTGTGCGGCATGCTAGTGTGGGGTAAGTATCTGTAGGGATCCTGCTGACACACACTAAAAGTTCCCTAATGCACTTTAATCTACTCCTGTTTCAAAGTGGGGTAGATCAAAGTGTACCAGGGAACTTTCAGTGCACAGCAGCAGGATCCACATGAATACTTAGTGAGTGGCACACTAGTGCAAGGTAGATTTTCACCCCAGCTTGCTGAGAACTCAATGTTCATGTAGATACGCCTTCAGTCTCTTTGGAATAGGGAGGGGGATGACGAACCAGCAGGGGTTCTCAACCTTTTTCTTTTTGAGGCCCCCCAACATGCTAAAAAACCTCCATGATCCACCTGTGCCACAATTGTTTTTCTGCATATAAAAGCCAGGACCAGCATTAGGGGGTAGCAAGCAGAGCAATTACCCGGGGTCCCCTACCATAAGGGGTCCCGCAAAACTTAGTTGCTCAGGCTTCGGTGTCAGCCCTGGGCGGTGGGGCTTGGGGCCCTGGGCTTCAGCCCCATACAGTGGGGCTTTGTCTTTCTGCCGAGGGCCCCAGCAAGTCAAATGCTGGGCCTGCTTGATGGACCCCCTGAAACCAGCTCGTGGCCCCCCAGTGGGCCCCGGACCCTTGGTTGAGAACCACTGCCATAGTGATCATCCTCATTTTGAAGGTTCTGATCTGTCTCTTCAGTCTTCTGAGGTCTTGTATCAGGCAGAGGCTATCCATCTTCCTGGAGATCAAGGAATACCTCAAGTAGAAACCCAGAACTCCTGGGGGGCCTCTTCTGTGGCTCGTTTGGTCAGCGTAGGTTGACTTCCTCCCAGAATGAACTCTTGTGAGAAGGATCTGTGAAGGGGGGCCAGTGAAGAACTGTATGAAGTAACCTTGATGTGTAGTCTTCAGTACCCAGCAGTCCGATGTGATTTCAGACTTGGCTTTGTAAAGTCTCTAAAGGATGTGGAGGTGGTAGATGAAGAGAAGAGTGTGCAAGAAACTGGAATGTGGCTCCCAACTGGGGTGTCAAACTTGAGGTCTGGAGACCAATGATACAAGCACCACACCAATGTCGTCAGATGTCATTGGTGTGGTGTTCTGCTCTGTTCAATGTTGATAACAGTTGGTTGCATGCGTGTGTTCCCTCTGAGTGCTGCCCCGGCTCTGCGCAGATAGCTGACACAGCAGACCCCGAGAGAACCTCCAATGACCACAGACTCCGATAAGGTACAAAGGCACCCAGCCAGATTTATTGTCAAACGAAGCATAGTAATAGTTTCCCACAGACTCTACAGGACATACAACGAATATGTGCCCCCTGACAATGGACCGGCTTAGTCAGTGGCGGGACTTACCACAGACCCCTAGGCCAGACAAGACAACCCTTCACTCCTGATGAACAGAGGTGCAACCCCTCTATGTGTTAGGGTGCCACCTCTCACTTTGTACATGTTGGTTCGAACAAAACAACTCTATCCTTCATGTTACCCTCCTGCCCTGTCTTTAGGATGGGTCAGCATGTTCCTTGTTATCTATGTGGCATGTGCTAGTACCGGAATGTTCTGGTACCGTCCGGGCAAACGTTTATATTACTAGTGCTTAGTACCTTTTAGGTATATGTATATTTGCAACATCAGCCTTCTTCTTGCCAGCTCCTGTGAGCAGGACCTGCCTCTGGCTCACAGCTTAACTTTGCTTTATGTTAGCAAAGTCTTGACTATTACTTTAGTTCAAGCCTTAGGTCTCACACCGGGCCTCTGATACAAGGGTTTATGTTTCAGGGCCTCATCTTACCACAAAAGCCTCTAAGGTTTTGTTGATTTTTTCAGTAAAATGGCCTTAACTTTCAAATTCTGTATTCACACTTGTGATTCTGGGGTAAGGTCTGAGGACTTAATTCATGAATATCTCTGTGGCTGTGGCTCTGTTGCAAGGGGCAGAGGTGTCAAAGGCTGCATGGGGGGAATGACAGGCCATACTTCTGCTTCAGTGGCAAGATCCTTTGCTGCCTTACTCTGATCTTTAGGAATCAAATTCAGAACAATAGCATCCCAGAGGGTATACTGTTAGTGTCTTGTCGCTGCCTGGTAACTGGCAATACACATGGATCCCAACAAATATGATTTCCTACTGGGCGAGGAAATTCTGTGCCCAGGGAGCAGATTTAGTACCCTTTATCTTTCCTAATGCAGGAGAGACCACACAGTTCAAGTACCACCAAGTAGTGCCCTTAAAGCTTTGTGAAGGGAAGGCCACAGCAACATCTGTGAACTCCTGATATCATAGAAGACAGAGTGCTCTGTGGAACTGAAGAGGTGCATGAAGGCTGATGGTGATGGTTCACTCAAAGGGAGCCTGAGTGAAGCCAAAGGGAGATCCTGGGCGTCACTGAACAGGAATTCCAGAGGTGAATCAGGAGAAAGTTCCAAAGCCAAATTGTGCACCAGTGAAGCAAAAATCTTGTTTGGGGACTAGTTGACTAGTCTTGGGAAAAGCTGACAGATTACCAGGAACATGAACTGGGGAAGTCTGCAGATGTTGCAGGGCCATTGACGACTAAAGAGCTGAGACCTTCTCCAAAATCAGCCCTGGGGAATTTCTATGAGATTGGTTATGATGCTTTCTTCTTTCCTTCTTCACTTCCCCAGAACCAGACCTATGCTTTCCTTCCCTTGTTTCTTCTGTGCAGATGGTGTATATCCCTAGGAGGTGCAGCAGGTGCCACAGAAAGATCTTCAATAGCTGAGGATGTTCTCTTAATAACCAGAAACTAATACCATTTGGGGAGTCAAACTTATCTGCATCACCAG